AACTTGTATTGCGCAGAACATGTCAAAGCCTCTTTCTGATGCAGACCTTCTTGTTGCTTGTGGCTGTGACCAACTATGCTCATCCTTGATATCACAAGTCGATGATTTTATTTGATTTTTGATTTCACGGCGGCTTATATATAACATCTTTTTTTCAGGACCCCAGAGCGACAGCTTCGGTTGTTTGATATTAGATTGAGGAATACAGAGCTCCATGCCTTTGGGTGGAAGCAGGAAAGCAGCGATTCACAATCAGCTCTTATAAATCAGGCCTGGTCTCCTGATGGCTTATACATTTCATCTGGATCAGCAGACCCTGTTATCCACGTTTTTGATATCCGGTTTAACAGTCGCAGACCTTCCCAGTCTATAAAAGCTCATCAAAAACGGGTTTTCAAAGCCGTGTGGCACCATGCTCTTCCGCTCCTGATATCCATTTCTTCTGACTTGAACATTGGGCTGCACAAGACATATTGAATAATTTCTCTTGACTGCGGCGTCTACTGCCTTCCATTTTTGCTCTTGTTCCCAATGTTTAGGAATTTGCATTTGTAAATTGTTGTTGTAAGATACCTTCTGCCTTTTTGGGAACTTTTTGAATATTTTTAGGGATTAAATGCATTAAAACATTTGTACTATATGCATTTTTTTTGGGTTAAATTTACCGTTTCATCGTTTTGTTTCTCTTACCTTTCATTCTTTGCTAGCATCACCACCTCAGCAGCGGTCCCAATCATCCTGCAACACGGCTTCGGTCTGCCCAGTAACTATACAATTCTCAAAAATGCCAGATTTTGTACAAATTGGCTTGCCCCTCGAACCTTGCTGCTTTCCTTTCAAAGTCGAACAACAACCTGGAACTTAGCTGCGGTAAGGGCCATCACCATGTTAGCCCATTACTATTAGCTCACCAAAAATATCTTGCTGCATGTGATCGTTGTACGGAATCTGTTGTATGTTTCGGCAACTTGTGTACTTTAGTTTTGTTAATTACTACTGCAATCGTAGGTAAAAGGTATTGCAGACGAGTGTTTTCATCTACTTTTCTCCATGGAATTTGCTTTAATCGATCATATTTGATATATTTTTTTTACCTTAGCTTATGTTTGTCTTGCCAACTTTTTCCAATTTGGGTTGGGTCCTCAATTTCTCCGGCATCAGTTTTGTTATTTTGCTTCTTTGTGATTTTGCATTTTAAGATTAGAAAAAACAAAATTGGCAGTTTTAATCTGGAATACTATGAATGCTGTCAACTTTGCCTCTATTATCGTAATTTCCCTCATGCATCTCTATAGCACCATGCACCCCTGAAAAGCTGCAAATGATTAGTGAATTTGCATCCCTGCCGCCTAGAAAATAGAGACATGTATTTATTAGAATCATAAAGATCCCAATTAGACGTCTCTTAACACAAAATATAACTTCCAAATAAGCATGCAACACCATCCAATCCAACACACCCACAACGGAGTCAATTACCTTAACTGATGAAATTCGCTAACTATTGCACACTTTGTTTTGCCTACTGTATGTAGTAGTCAAGATAATCTTCCGAGACGATCTCTTTTTCTGGACCATCTCCCATTCAAGGAATGATCTTGCAGCTGTGGTCTTGTCAATCGAGTACCTTACGACAAGAAATAATTAATATGACACTTTGTAGGCTGTTGCAACAACAGATCTAGAACCGACCTATCACCGTATCTTCTTCCATGGATGCAGCTCGGATTCCAAGGCCACATCCCAAGTTCTACTATATAAAAATACCCCATTTTTTTCAACCTTAGAGGTAACTGGTTCTTAACTCTCCTAATCGACGACTCATTCTCGAACTTAAACATCGAAATCAAACCGGGGGTTTAGCCTCGCTTTTGTTTTTGATATCGTACAGGAAATCTGGACGAGAGTTTACCGGTCTTGAGTTATCTCGGGAACCTCGCAATCCTTTTGGAGTTCACCGATCTCCAGTTATCGCGACTCCACACCTACCAATGCTGCCTAGCATTATTTGAACAATCTCCAATCTTTTTTTGTCAACTTGGAAGGTGGACGTGAAATGCAAGCCATATCATGCAACACTAGTACTATTCCTGCATAAAATCTGTTCTAAGCGTGTGCGCGTTTAACCCTTCTTCTACGTCCATTATTTGCTCCCCCCATTTATCATTTGATTCTTAAGTGGTTGACCTTGACCCCCATTTATCACCTTTGTGGTCAGTTGACCACAACCTTTCCCCAAGTGGAAACTGGTTACCTCAATCCAAGAAACAGCAGGCCATCAATTTTTTTTAAAAAAAAAATCCATCTTCAGCTGTCACTGATGTGATCTACTACATATATCATTCGGCTGGGCAAGATGTCAACACAAAAGATTTTCCAGCACTAAAGTCAGAAGATGGATTGCATTAAGCGTTGGAGCATCAAACCCAGGTATGGTTGGCACCACCAAAACTGTTTACTGTTACTTTTGGGTAATGACATGGCTAATTATTACTAGGAGATGCAAGGAGGGGGAATGCTTTCTGGCTTTGTGCTTGTAATTGAGAGATGAGATTACCATCCTAATGGGATTAGCACTACTACGCATGAAGACGTGTTGATTGATATGGTCAAAGTGTCATGCTTCACTTGCAAGCATTTATTGGTTGCTTCGCATGGAAAAAGTTGTGTAGATCTTTGGTTGTGCTCAATTATGACATCAAAACGAAAAACCAAAAAGTTAACAAGTCAGTCAGACAATTGCGAATTTGTGCTTGGTGATGCCAATTGCCACAAAGCTAAGGGAAAAAAAAAAAAAAAAAAAGAAGAAGCCCAAATTGGGTTAATTAGAGAATTATTGTAGGCTATATGGATGAGACGACAATCACAAAATTGTAAAGGTTAACAGGACAAAAACATTTTGACAAAAGTAAAAAAGGACAAAAACATTAAGTTCTATGTACAAATATTGTCGCAGAGTTTCATATACACGCTGAAACTAGTTTGAAGAGAGGGATTACAATGACACAAATGTTTTTGGAGCTATAATGTTCTAATTGATGTTCTTTATATATATATATGTGTGTGTGTGTGTTCTGTGGTCAGCCGATGTCAACATTAGTTTGATTTTCTCAAAGGGCCAAAATAGCCTGAGAAAAGACTAGGCAAAGAGACGGAGGCGTCTAATTTTGTGTTTCCCAAAAGCTGGGCAACACTCATGGCTGACCCAAAAAAAAAAAAAAAGAAGAAAGATACGTGTGCTTTTGCAAGTTTCCAGAGTGGTGAAAAATTATTTTATCTTTGTGCAACTAACATATTATCGTTTTCTTTTGAAAAGTCCAGCAAAGATTAGTTCTGGACAATATATTTTTGTATATATTCTATTCATTATTATGTCTTTGGATAATATTTGGAAAGAATGCCCTGAAACTATTGTTACAATTATACATTAAAATCGATCCATGGATTAATATCAAGGGTTTAAGTTTGACTGATTGTTTGCTTCGTACCTCAGATTCTTTGTATTTGTATTCTTATAGATCGACAAGCTATGTATTCATTCTTTGTTTCCTTTGGAAAAAGACAATTAATTGGTTAGTTTGGTCAAAATTTGACGGGAGAATTTGGAAGAAGACAATTGGAAAAATTAGAATTCTAAGTTGGGTGTAAATTTAAATTTTGAGATAATTGTAAGTGGAGTATAGGTTATTGATCGTAAACTATAAATTTATTTTGAAAATGTATATATATATATATATGTATTTACATGTATATTCAGACATGTATATATATATATATTTACAAAAATGCACATCCTTAGTTATTAAGACGGACGTTACAATTCAATAAAGTACGCTTTGTTACAAAGATAATTTAGTCATTTAATAATAAATTTATTATCTATATTAATCGGTGAATAGTAACTCACACCTATTCAAAAATTTATTGAAAGTTACACTCATCATCTTATGAATTTTTTATTTTTCTATTCTCATTTTCTTAATTTTTTCTATTTTGAAATGCGATTAGGACAGCCTGTTCGTTTTTCTCGTGACGTTCATTGGTTAGGTCACGTAAACGAAAATAACACAATTAAGTGCATTCTTTACCCTGAAGGAGGTTCAGTTGTAATAGGATCTGCAGTAGAAAACAAAACAATTTGGTCAATTGACTTTCGAAAACATGCTGACCACTCCACTGGACACTTTTTGTAGTGGTCCGAGATTCAGCTAACCTAAACCAAGTTTGATGGCCAAAACATCCACCACCAAGAACCAGGGGTACAAATTAATTAGCCTATTTGACTCGAGTTCCTGAGTTGTTGAGTCAAACACTCCACTCCACTCGAGTTTGAATGGAAACAATCAAAATTCGATTTTTAGTCTAGTTGTGTATTTATAATATAATTTTTAATTATTTATTATAAAATTTATTAAAAATCAAATTTGAAGATTCGATTGAACTTATCTGGTCGGTTTTGAAGTCGAGTTCAAGTAAGGTAAAAATAAGTTCAAGTTTGAGTTCGAACTAAACTTTAAAAAACTAGACGAGTTCGAACTCGAGCATTTTTATTCGAGTAGCGTTCAAGCAATGCACATGTCGACCCCGTAACAGCTTACCGAGAACTCAAGAAGTTAGACAGAAGGGTATTTTAGTCCAAACACAATATTCATTAGCCAATTGAAAAGAAAGAACCAAGCTTGAACACCCCAACCAAAAATGTCCCCACGGGGACGCAATCCAGGTAATTATTCAACAAAATTAAATTGCCCCAATATTAATTTTTAAACACTACTGAAATGTAACGTTCCTTTCTTGTATTTTACTTTTTTTTTTTTAACGCGGAATTAGCTTTAGTCGGGCAACAATACAACATTTGTGGGCCACCCTATCCATCTTTTGTTTCTGTAACGCCCACAGCCTTTTTTTTTATTTTTATTTTATTTTACTTGAAAGAAAATCTTCATGCATTAATCATTTTATTTTTTATTTTACTTGTATTTTTTTCCATCTAATTTCCCCTCCCTCCCCATGTATGTATACCTGAGTCCTGGCTACTTTTTCAATGACTATTTTCCAGTATTCTTCCTGGATAGCTGAGTAGAGCTGACAAAGCAGACAACCGTTGAAAAGTATTATTGGACTGAAAAAAAGAGGCGGCTGCTGCGGTGACGGAGATGGGGAATTGCTGCTCCGACGTTGCCGGCGGACAGTCGGCGGTCGGCGGCACTGCTTCATTTCAAGCTAATTCTTCCAACGCTCCCAACGATGCCGTTGATGCTTTTCTGAACTCTCGCGGCTACAAAGGACTTTACTCTCAGATCGAGGTTTCCTTTTAACTTAATCCAGAGTAAAATCAATAAATGCATGCGATTTTTTTTCCCCTCGCCTCTCTTTTATGTATCTGCATGTGAAATGAGCTGAGATAAGAGGAATGAGCAATGGAGATGCTTCGAAGTACAGTTCAATTGATAGTTATAATCTGTGTAATTTATTTTAATATTTTTTGGTTGAAGAGTTAAGATGAGAATATGTGATATTTTAGTAAATTTTTGGAGTTTAGGCGTTCCTTACTTGCTTAAGCATTGAGAGAGATGTTGCTTGACATGAAATGTCATTAAATTAAGGTGAAAGATTGCTATATTTGGATTATAGGCGAAAATGAAGCTTCTTTCAAAAAGTGTCAGTTTTGAATTGTTTTTTGCTATGTATATTCTGCCGTATTTGGAATGTGTAATAGTGACGGGAAACAAATTAATGGTAGTCTGTATGGGAATGGTTTACCGTATTGACAACAATATTATGATTCATGTATCGAAAAGTAAATGCAAATGCCACAGATTAGAATACAATGCACTAAATGGAAAGCCTTGTTAGTTGCAATCTTATTGAACTTCACTTCTTAATTTGAAATGGTGGCCTCAACTGATGATAACTGATATGGCCTGAAGCATGATTTGTGTGCTATAGTCCTTCCCTTTTGTGTGTCCATCATGTGAGATGACTGATTCTCCAGTCATTAACAAGGTAATTCCTAAGTTGTGTTGTGCATACACAATACATAAAGGTATGCCCAAGCAGAATGAATGGGTATCTAATTCTCCTCTAATTCTCTGCGGTTTAGCTTTTTGTGATAATTTGCAAGTTGGTCAAATTAGGTCAGGTAGAGTGTTGGCTTCATGCTCTATCTCTTGCGTAAAGCAGGTTTCCCCCTTTTTGGAGAGCAGTAAACTTGTACGAGCTTATGTGTACGAGTTTGTTTCAGTCTAAATGCGGTTGATGGCAAAAATCTCTTGCTGCTAAAAAGACTAACTTTTTGTTCGATGTGAACCATGTTGCTGCTATGTTACCGAGTAGAGTAGTGGTTCCACTAGTTGAGTCCAAATTAAACTTTTTACATGGAAGTTAAATATGATGAATTTTTTGTCAGTCTTACTAATTCTGCTTATTATTAATCTTTTCATTTAACAAACTTACTGGTAAATTAAAGCTCAGCAATCTTTGTAAACATCAACAATCAATTTTCTATCCTAGTCATACTTTTAGCTGTAATATGTTAAAGGTATCTCACACTGAGTTCTTGTTTCCAAATTTGTGTAGTTGTCTCTCTCTGCTACAAACTTGCGTGATCGGGATATTCTATCCAAGGTTTGTTGATCATTTCCTGACGTTTCATGATTATTAACGAATTTATGTTGGGTCTACCATACAAAAAAAATGCTGATATGCATTTGCTTAATATTTCTCAATGTCTCAGAGGTTTAGGAGCTCTATTTTGTACCTTTACAATTTTTGAAATCATTTGTTAATGTTTCTTCACAATGAAGCGCAAAAATGAATGTTTATAGCACTAAAAATTATTTAAAAATTGTCTATGATATCCAATGTAGTGGAGCTTGTCTTCTTTTGCATATCTTGGGATGTGGTTATAGGATGAGTAAAGGGAGGTTGGCCATGCTATATGACATAAAATATTCCTTTTAATTGATCACTTTTCATGATGAGCTTTGTGTAGCCTCTACTGCAGTATCTGCTAGCAGAAGTGGACCTATGTAAATTTAATATGCAATATTGATGCTTCCTGGCCTAGAAATTTTGTAGATATAATGTTATATGACACTTTAAGATACTTGAGGACGTTCAACTATTTAATCAGAGTAGAGAGGAACTTTCCAGCTTCTATTTGGATGCTGTATTTTCTTTGTGGTGTGTTAGGATAAGGGAACAATTGTCTGTCTTATAATGACTTGATAAATAATATTGCGATTGAGTTTGACTAAACTGAAAACCGAGGCATATCAATAAGCATAAGGGAAGTGGATATAATGTGGCCTGTGTTGACATCTAGATGTTGGAGAAACTGAACTAAGGCAAACACAGACTCTCTCTCTCTCTCTCTCTTCCCCCCTCTCAGGATTAGATTTTTGACGAGCACTGTTTTCGAGAAGACTGTCAAATATCTGAAGCTACCTGTATCCTTGCATTTTGTAATTCTTGTTCTGCCATGCAGTTGATATCAGGAAACTATATAAATCCCTAGATCAGGCAATTTGCCATCTATGGTTGTTGACATCAAACGATAATGGCTTTCCTGTACACTTTATCAAATTAAATGTGCCACATGTAATGTTTACCTTCCTTGTAATTACTGAGGTTGATGCATTTGCTAGCTTTCTGCCCTTGTTTAAGTTGTCAGTAGCAGAATTGGAGACTGAAAGATGCAAGATTGCACTTAAATTCCTTGCAATTGCACCTTGCACCCTTTTCCACCCATCTACTAATATGATCTCAATTCGCATTGAGAAGTTTAGTCTGCATGTATTTATGGTATGTTTGTTTCTATAATGGATATAATAAGGAAATATCTGATGCTTTTCCACTTGGTTTGGTCTTGTTTTGCTTAGCCAGCTTGGATGATTGACAAGCATAGCCAACTCTCATTTGTAAATAGTCGCTTAAGTTGCATATTAACTTAAATTATTCTTCTTTTGTTTGTGCTATCTAATATGAAGAAGTACTACTTCTCAATGATTCTTATGAATTGCACTCAACAATAGTGTCAAATTATGTTTTATACCAATTTGAGAGAGAGTCTGAAACCCCACACTCTTGTGCTGTCAACTTATTCTCTCAGATCTGCTGTTCTCCATATACCACTGAAATAAATCCTTTATTCACAAGCACAGTTGCTGGATTCAGGATTACCATTGTTTATCTTAGGTTAGCACTTACAGGCCTTGTTTTTTCCAGAGTGATCCTATGGCAGTTATTTATACCAAACAGAAAGATGGTTTGCTTCAAGAATTCGGTCGTACTGAAGTTCTTTTGAACTCTTTGAGTCCCAAGTGGATTAAAAAGTTCACTATTACCTACCAGTTTGAGATAGTGCAGCATTTAGTGTGAGTATGGCTCTTTGATCATGGATTTATGTCATGCAAGTACAATTTTCACTACTACGTGTACATTGATTGTAATCTTCATCACAGGTTTCATGTGTATGATGTCGATACACAGTTTCACAATATAGATGTAAAGGTATGTCATGCTGCTCCTGTAAAATTTTCTTCCAACAATTGAATCCTTAAGAGGTTTATCTGTTCTATAGCATGGCATGTGACTTGTTGAACAGTTGTTGATTTCATGTTTGCATACCCATTTTGAACAGTTGTTTTGTAAATATAACAAAGAGAAATAATTTAAGTTGAGGTATGGCAACCAATTAATTTGCTTCTCAATTTGGGAAATTTACCTGAAGCATCTAGATTGTTGAGGAAATGCTAGATTGTTGAATCTTGTAGACCGCGACTATAAAGCTTGTGTTATGAATCATCTGAGTTGCATAGTACATTTCATAAATCTTTTACTGGCAAAACACAAATATGATTTAGATCATATGTTGTGCTCTAGCCCACTAAAAAGGTGAACGGAAAGAAATAGGTATTCCAGGTGAGGTGTAAAATCATTAAAGTTAACATTTATTAATTTGCCATCAATTAGTACTAGTTTTTGAAGCTTGAACAAGGCCTGATCCCATACAGATGTATGGAAATGTGAATTTGAAAGCTTTTAGCAAGTGTGGAATATGAAACATCATATCCATTGCTCCTGGAGATTTTGCTCGATAAGGCTCAGGTCAAGTTGTGGCTTCTTTTTTTTAGCATTCCATCACTTCATGCTTGAAGAAAAGGAACTTACCGGCTTGCTTTGCTGAATGTTTTTCTTCTTTGTTGCTATTTTTTTTTCCTTTGTTGCTATAAGTTGTTAAACTGTATCAAAAATAATTTTCTCTTGTTCTGATACTGAATTTATTCTTTGAAACTTGTAAAGAAATATGCTAATGTATCAGATAACTAAAGCTACTGCTTGACTTTGATACAGAATGTTTACATGAGTCATTTGGATTGGGAGGATAAATTTTGAAATGCCTAAATCTCAACTGCAACGTATAGGAATGTTGAAATCCTTAGGTTAAGTAAAACTCTTATGCTACAACTTTTTTTTTTCTTTTTTCAGTGTAAGTGGGAGATCTCAAACCTGGGACCTCTCACTTACACTCCCTCCCACCATACCACCAACCCATCCTTCTCCCCTGAAGCTACAACTTTGGGAATGTATTTTTCTGAGATGAATCTCTTATAACCTCATTTAATTACAGCTGGGGTATTCAGGTCTTATTATGAATTGTCTACTTCATCACTGGCTTTTGAAGAGATTCTTATATTATCAGATAAATAATGAGTAGAGCTTTGCTTCTTTCTTGTCTGCTGTTCAACCAATTTTGAGCCTCACCCTGCGTTGGTTTTAGGACAATATCTTTGATTGTTGCTGTTGAACTGCTTCCAGAGAATATGAGTGCTGGGGATATATGTTGCTCATTTGAGTCAATGTCGTCTATAACGACAATGATACTATGAACACTACCTGTAAGTACTATTTGTCCTGTGCAGATGCTTAGGTTGGAGGAGCAGCAGTTCCTGGGCGAGGCTAATTGCACCTTATCTGAGGTGTAGATTGCTCACCCTTCTTAACAATCACTTTTTTACATTAATATGCTAATTTGTAAATACAGTATTAAGTGTGAATCAGGTTCATGTGCATTGTAACTAGGGGTGCCATCTGTTAGTCATGTGATCTGTAGATTTCATGTCTGAATTGAAACTTGTTTAATCATTTGTTCAGTCTTTCAACTATCTATTCTACTGGTAACTAGAAAACCATGAATGTTTCCTGTAGATTTCTTGCAATCTGATCTTTTATGAAGTCGAAGTCGAAATTGCCTTCTTTATTTTCCATGAGCCAAGTGTAGCTCTAGATGGCTCATCATGGCCAATTAAGTACAATGACCTTTATTTAACCTTCTTTCTGATATTTGCAATGGAAGATTTTTGACACAATATCTTTTTGTGTTATTGTAGATTATCACAAGATCAAACAAGTCATTGACCTTAGACCTTGTAGATAATCCAGGATCTTCTGGTTCTGCTATTCCCAAAAAGCTTGGTCAAATCACTCTTTTGGCTGAAGAGAGTTTTGCATCAAAGACTACAACTGAATTGGTTCTGAGATGTTCAGACTTGGAATCTAAAGATTTATTTTCAAAAAGTGTATGAAGTCTGAGAACCTTTCTCTCTGTTCCCTTTTGGAGTATATCATGGTGACATGGTGAATCTGTTTAATGTGATGACTTGCAGGATCCTTTCCTTATCATATCAAAAGTTACAGAGAGTGCAGTGGCTGTTCCGATCTGCAAAACTGAAGTTTTGAAAAATGATCATAGTCCGAGATGGAAGCCAGTTTTTCTAAGTATTCAGCAAGCTGGAAGCAAGGTACAACATATTGTTTCATCAAGGGGCTGGAATCTGTGGTGGCTCGAGGAGATTTTCTTTTCACCACTCATTTCATCTTCTTCAAATGGAACAAAATGATAAGAAAAATTCAATGAAACATTTTATCCAACCTCATGGATAGCAGGCTTTGGTCATATTCTCTGTGGAGATGTCTACTGTATGAGAAAGCATGACTAGAGTTTTGCTGTAATCTCACTTTTGTATTTCCTTATTTTGTCCTGGTTTTGCTGTGCTTAATATCTTCCTTAAGATTAAAAGTAGAAAAACATTACTGTCGTTACCCTATTCTTCTTATAAGCTGACTTCGAATTTCTAATTAACTTCACATTTTCCCCTTGCTTCTAGTCTATGTATATCAGGGATATAAAACATCTTTAATTTGCACAAATATATGATATATCATCTATTTTTTAGGGGACACTTATATGCTTTTAACTTTTAAATTAGTTAAAAAAATTCTATGAAGTGAGTTATAGTATATTTTTAAACATGATTGTTTACATTTAATACCAAAACTTTGATAGACAGCATATACACCTCTCTAGCCTATCAAACAATTACAGCCAGTGAGTTTGTCCTTTCTAGTCTATTGATGATTGAGACTCAGTGGACTAGCTGAGGCGTGCCATTAATCTAGTATTGGTGAAATTTTACTTTCTTCTGCATGCATCTATTCGCTGAATTTTCATCTAATGCAGGACAGCCCATTGATTATAGAGTGCTTCAACTTCAATGGTAACGGGAAACATGATTTACTGGGGTAAGTTGGCGCTTTCTTCTGTTGGAATCTTTTATGTGGTCTTTATAGAATATCAATTGATTTTGCTTGATTAATCCTTGTCAAACAGTAAAGTTCAGAAATCTTTAGCAGAATTGGAGAATTTGCATTCTGCCGGGACAGGATCAAATTTGTTCCTGCCTGCTGCATTCGGCCAAAGTCATCCCAACAAGGTTAGAATTATTGATCCATGAGTTTTGTCCCCAAGTTACAGTAGTTGTTTTAATCACCGTGATAATCATAACCAGGTCCTAAAGAGCCAACTGTTTGTTGACAAGTTTTCTGAGAAAATCCAGCATACATTCCTTGATTACTTAGCTGGTGGTTATGAACTGAACTTCATGGTTGCGATTGATTTCACTGGTACAGTTATTTGCCTTCCTCTCATGCAACTTTCTCATTTGCCTCCTGGCATTACTTTTATTGGTCTTAGCTACAATGTAAATCATCAGCTATCTTGCAAACAATGGAGAGTGAATATTCAAGAAAGTGAAAATTAATGATGCCTAAGCAACAAAAATTAGATAACTGAGGGTCTGTTGAAGAAAGTTGATTTTAGCATTTCTTATTATGCATTGAGTATGAGGAAGCCAGGTGCTCTTTGATATAGCTAGTCCCAAGGCTGTAGGCCAATTAGGCTTTTCTTTAGTTTGGATGCAAACCTGATTTTTGTCTTCTTTTCTATTTTCTTTTGCGGAGGGTTCAGAGTGTGCTGTCAAACTCCCACGTGTTGAGCAGCACAAATTATAACTTGAATGTGTTGAAGTAAAGTTTTTCTAAGCATTCTTATAGTGTATTAAAGAAGAAGAAGCTAGGTGCCTTATATGGAACTTGGCACCAGGCTGGAGGAATTGTGCTTGTCTTCAGTTTGGATGCACCCAATATTGGTCTCTGTTTCATTTCCATGGGAGCTGTTGTGAATGTGTTAATTGTTGAAGGATGTTTTGCTTATTCAGTTGACTTTGTCAAATCATGTTTTTAAAATTTCTTTTTGTTGTTGCTAGTTGTCAATATTATCTTTACATTTCTATTGTAAAACCAATCAGGATGTCGAGGCACTTCAATGATATGGGTATTCAGTCTGTTCCACCTAATTATACTTTATCCAGATGGGACTAGGTTGTGTGCTGAATGCCTAAATGCTAATTTATGTCATTTCCATCCAAAATCTATTATCATATAGTAAGTTATAAAGGGAAAAGAAAGATAGCAAGGTTGCTTAAATCAATTACTGTTAACACCGGTAGTTTTGGATGACTAAAATTCACATACTTCACTTACCAAATTTTCCTTTTAATCTTCTGATCTGTTTGGCTTGGTTGGCATATATGGATGGACATTCAGATGTTTAAATACATACCTAATTCCTAGTTTTCATGTTTCAGCTTCAAATGGAAATCCTCGCCTGCCTGATTCTCTGCATTATATTGACCCTTCTGGACGGCCAAATGCGTACCAGAAAGTGAGAAACTTGTTAGTGTTTACAGAACTCTGGTAAAAATCATGGAATCTGAATGTATAACATACCTGGCTAGTGATAATCAATTTCAGGCAATCTTAGAGGTAGGAGAAGTATTGCAATTCTATGATTCAGACAAGCGCTTTCCTGCTTGGGGTTTTGGAGCCCGACCAATTGATGGCCCAGTCTCTCATTGCTTTAACTTAAATGGAAGCAGTAACTATTGTGAGGTAATTCTGCTGCAGCGACAATTGCTGCAGTGTACAGAAGTTTTCAGCTTCTTAAATGTCTTATATACATTTACCTTATCCGTTTGGATTTAGCATTGATTTTCCATGATATAGGTTGAAGGAATTCAAGGAATTCTGGCGGCATACATAAGTGCCCTTTATAATGTTTCGCTTGCTGGACCAACTTTATTTGGACCAGTCGTTACCGCTGCTGCACATATTGCCAGCCAAGGCGTGACAAGCGATCGAAGGAAGTACTTTGTTTTGTTAATTATCACGGTAAGAAACAGATGATGCTCATATTCCTAGCCAAGTAAAAATAAATATCAGGAAAAAGGTAATTCAATTTAGCTAATAATCATTTATATATCACAATGTGGTGTCTATCATTCTCGTATATATGGATATATGGTTGGGTTTTCTGTGGGCTAAATTTTCCTAATGTTACATCCCTCATTTAGTACCCTTTCTGGACTTTACTCTTTGAAGGATTTTATTTCCGGACCTACATATGACTTCGGTTCGTTTATGCCAACTCGTGTAATTTTATGTTAGACCGCTTCTGTAGATTTCTTAATTTGCAATGGTATACCCTTTTCAGGATGGAGTAATTACAGATCTCCAAGAAACTATAGATGCTTTTGTTAAGGCATCAGATCTACCTTTATCCGTCCTTATTGTTGGGGTTGGAGGAGCAGACTTTAAGGAAATGGAGGTGTGCCAATTTATTTATTTACTAATTTATTTTTGGGTTAGGTGTCTGTTATCCAAAGTAGTTCCATGAGCATTTTTCAGAAAAAAAAAGGTTCCATGAGCAGCAGCAGCTTATTGAATCATCACCTTTCAGTTCCTTTAATGGCCTGGTTTTTGTTAGATTTTGGATGCAGATAAGGAAAGACTTGAAAGTTCAACTGGCCGAGTTGCATCGCGAGATATTGTTCAGTTTGTTCCATTTCGTGATGTACAGAGTAAGTCATTGTAGCAGCTTCCGCTCTCTCTCCTAGCTCCCATACGGAGAGCATGAATTGAATCTTGGAAAAGGAGAAAGGAAAATAATTTTTCCCCCTTTTTTTTTTTTTGTCATAGTTACCCATATTTCTACCTGATTGATTACCTTTTTCTGGAATTTCTTTTTCCAGTTTCATGTGATTTTTGATAATGTCGCATTGACTTGCAGGTAGAGAGATCTCTGTTGTTCAATCCCTTTTAGCAGAATTACCTTCCCAATTTTTGACGTACGTGAGATCTAGAAATTTATACCCCATTAGCTGAATATACCAACAATTGTACATACAAATGGATTCTCTTCAGTTACTGTGTCAATTAGTTTCATCTTCCAATGCAAATATGCTTTTGTATTCTGTTTATAACAAATTTTTTTTTTTTTTTTTGGGTTTAACCAATGGTTGTTTCATAAGCAAAGCAAGGGACGTTCATTTCATATAAGGGCTTCTACAATTTCAGTCTTGTCGGGATATGCGCAACCAACTGTGTGCTGCACATAATTTGTGTTCATGATCACATGTGTCTAAGACATTGCACAACCACGAGGTCGTACAGGTTTAGATAGATTTTCCAGGCTTTGAATGGGTCGACGAGAAAATTGGTGGTAGGGTGTATTGTATTTTATTGGCTCGTTAGGTATCTTCACCTTGTAATTGGGGACCACGAGGAGATCTTCGTGGCTGTGGGTGGAATAAGACTACACCAGCAACATCAACGCACCAAAGATTGTATAGGAAAGGAGATTATGCTGAAGCAAAATGGAATGCGACAGGGGAGATCTACGACTTCAAGCATTGGAGGAGCGCATGGCTTGTATTTGCCGCTCCTCCGTCACATCAGATGAACCAAAAATGTCTTTCTGGCGGTGCTTCCGCATTATTGACTGGCTGAGTTCTGTTTGTTGGTTGACCAGAGTCACACCTTCCCTCCCAAAATGCTGGAAGCCAAGAAGCACAGAAAACGTCAATAATTTCTATGCAATCAGTAGATTAGATTTTTTTTTTTCCTGCCTTGAAGCTAGGATTTAGACCATGGGGTGGACGCAAGAGAAGGGAAAACTGTTCCAGCTATTCTATTTTCGGCTTTGTGAGAGGTAATTATGCTCTGTCATTTTGTTCGTTTCTCTTATGGGAGGTTTAGGCTTTGCTTGTTGAGAAATTGAAATACATACATATATCGAAGTGATGGTCCTGATGGGGAAGCCTCCTGTCCCTCTCAACGGACGCTCGGGCTGCCATCAAGAACTCGAAAGTCCACACAATCTGGTCAAGGGCTTAGAGGATTGGGCAAATTGAATTCCAAAAGCTTGAAAGTCTATGCCTCCGAATAATTTTTCAGCAGGAGTCCAGTCCGTCCCTAATCATACCAGGACGACTTTTTCTTCTCACGAATTTGAAGCCACAGATTTTTCAATGCTTATAATTCGAGCCCCGTCCCCACCCCAAAAACCTCCAAAGGTAAACATCTTTCTTCGTCGGCCTCTCTGGCTCGTTCAGAACTCCTAATAGTCTCGTCTGACTTGAGCATTGGAATCATGTTGAGAGATTTTTAACTCTTTACCTCTTTCCTAATAGTACTGAGTGTTCGCCGGTAGGAAATTCAATTCGCTAGGTTCGTAGCCATTTGCTGAATGCTGCCATGCTACGCTTTGAGTCCGTAATTAGTACTACACTATCTCTTTAATTCAACCAAATACTGGAGTTCTGTACTCTGGTGATCAGGTAATGCATTTATCTTGAGTTTGGGCTCTACCTGTCCGGTATTAGCTTTTGCTACGAAGAAAGCAACTGGAAGATGTGCACGAGTTCTGGGCCCTCTCGAGCAAAATTTCAGACATATGAAGCGAGTGTTATTATAACAATAAGACGGTAAACGCCAACAAAGGTAAAATTCCATGCCAAAATTTTGCGTGCTTTTCTGATCAACCTTGCATCTCCGAGAGAGTATAATACTAGGAAAGAGTAGAAAGGGGATGCAAACTAAAAAGTCGTAATTTGTTTTTGCTTTGATACGCAAACAAAACAGAATCAGAAATCTCGAAAGTTTCTTGCTCAAACCAGTTTGCGGAAAAATTACCCCGTTCGATCACGTGTGCCGGCCTTTTTCAGTTTTCAACTTTTACGTCGTACACCCATTCTTGCAACTTGCAAGCAGCTGTCTGCCGTCACTAGCCCATTTCATTTCATTTCATTTCATTTCATTTTTGTCAGCTAGGATTATTTGCTCATAAAAAAAAAAAAAAAAAAAAAAAGCCAAGATGAAAATTAAAATGAACATCGATACCAAAAGATTGCCTCATAGATTAGGCACTTCTGAACTTTTAGCCGCTTCAAGTTCTGGACATGGTTACAACAGTGGAATTTCTTTTGCTTTTGCTTAAATGAAAATGGTCTGTGCTTATCACATGCAACCCTTTTTTCTTATTAAACATTTCTTTGTTTTTTTTTTTTTTTGCCCCCCTCGAAGATTGGCTGTCCGTGAGCCAGTGGTCAGCGTAATCAATAGGGTAAATTGACATTCTTGTTTAAGAGAGTCGTTTATTTATATATAAAAATTACAAGACGATATGGGTATTTTTCTCATCCTCATAATAATACGACAATCTCATGTGTCTATATACTGGAAAGCACTCTGATATATCAAAAAATCTGACCCATCCACATGAAATTGATGACTTTTGCAACTCATCAATCAATCTGTCGCATGTGCTGAGATCGTTTACTTCGCTTGTTGCCACAATTCAAATAGGCAGTATGTAATTGAGCACATTTATTTATTTATTTATCGAATAATTAATTCTATAGATGAATGAAGCCTGCAAGTAATTCAGACCGCTTAGACACCACTTAATCAATCAGGTGGTACAACAAAATGTCCTTTTGTATATATATATATATATGTGTGTGTGTGTGTGTTGAACCTGCTTTTTAATGTAAGCGAAGAAACAATAAGAAAATCACAACAAATGTCATCTATTTATTTGTCGCAATAAAATACAAACTTATAGATATGCTGATATATATTAATAGCTTGTCTAAGACGGATGCCACCTAACAGATTATTCGTCTTAAATAAATAAAAAATAATATTGAACCAATATTAAATTTGGATTTACTTGAGGCGCATTTCTTTATTTTCTCGTTCCTTCTTCTCGGTCAATTATGCTTACTTCCCGCTTTTGACAAATCTTTTGGTCAGTGCCGGAAGAAACAGTTAATTAACACACACAAACTGAGAAATGCTTAAATCTGTTCAAAACGTTGAAAATTCACATTGGACTTGCTGTTTTATTTTGAAAGAGAGGCACTACTTTAATCGGACAAAGCAAGAGATATAACGAAATTCTAATGAATTTTTTTATGTGCGAAATACTAACTAAATGTTGTGAAATGGCGTCCTTTGTTTAATTTGCATTAATCCTTCCTTAAAATTTTTGGGTCAATTTTTCATGTAATAAGTACCAAAAAAAAAAAACCCGCCAAGCTTTCATTGCTTCAGCGGCTATATTCGTTAATTAAAGCATTGATGCAAAAGCCTATCACCTTTTTCCCTCACATATATCAAATCGCTACAGTAATTTTTCCATGAAAAATGACGGAAAATGCAATCCAAACACACTCTAACTTTCCTTATCTCTCTCTCTCTCTTTTTTTTTTTTTTGGCTGAATTTGCATATATTTATTGAAGTATATAAAATAATGCTGGCACACCTCCTTTTATGAGTTTTATCTTCTTGCACACCGTTTGAATGTTTTATTAAGGCCAAATGACAAGTGTACGCGCCCTCGTGTGAATGGTTCAGCGGCAGCGCCTCTCACCAGTGAACCTTAAGGTCATAAAGTTTAAGTTTCCGTTCCGCTGGATTCCTCCGCGCATTTAACGTGTTCGGGCCGGGTTGGGGCGTCGGGCCCGGGCCGCAAGAGATTAATCGGGCCTCGTAAGGATTGACCCGAACACCCCTGTGTCGACAAAAAAAAATAAAAACAAGTGTACGCGTGGTGTGCACGACAGGACGCTAAAGGGCGTACGTACGTACGTGAATACGATCACCTTTAATTTAATAAAAATGATTAATAGTGTAAATCTTTTAGGAAAATAGAGAGAGTGTAAAATTCTTTGAGGGAGATTAATTACTAGTCAAATAAAATTTTAAAATGTTTGAATAGAACAATTATATAATTTATACATATAAAAACCAAAGCTTTTTTTTTTTTCCTTCAAATATTGAATTTGAGGCAAATCTATATTCTTTTCACACTTCACTGTTCATTCAAAACTCTAGCTTCCTCTAGTAAACCCTAGGAGATGTTAACACTTTTTTCCATTTTAAAGTAGTATTCCACAATTTCCACAACTTTTCTCTCAAGCTTCTTGTCGGACCCTTTCTCCTTTATCCTTCTTCATTTGCGCATATAGCACCAATTCATTAGCAACCTTTCAACTATTGACTTCAGTCTCGAGAAGCCTTGTATCTCAATCTCAATTAAGGCACAACTGAAAGAAGGGTTCACAAAGGTCTAAAACGGTGGATCGAAGACATGGGAAGAGGCCCCTTTCATCCCGTGAATCGGAGGAGAAAGAGGAGCAACAACCGCAACACCAACATCAATTATTTCCTTTCTATTCAGCTCGATCCCAACATGACATGACTGCCATGGTTTCTGCTCTATCTCAGGTTATCGGGAGTACTGATAACAATAATTCTGTGGCTGTTGTTGGAAATTATCCAGCTCTAGCTGATCCTCAGCCAGCTCCAGCTATAGAAAACCGAGCTCAACAAGAACAAGGTACAAGAAGATTTTTCTTTGAATATGTTATTTGATTAAGAGCTAGGAGATAATGCTGTGCCTGTTTCCGATGTCCCCGACCACGTTTTTGTCGTTGAATGTTACGGGCAATTGGGGATATGATAATCGGCCATCTTCGAAGAAATATGGAAAGTTTTTTAAGGAAAATAATAGAGATGGGGGACGCACTGTTCTGATGTTGCACAGTTGCACTAGTTCATGTTGTTCACCATAATCTATTTTCTAGCATTTTCAAACACAAATCATTTTTAGCTGAAACCCTTGCTCTTGAGGAATTCATTTGACTTCTTTCAGCATAAGATATCAGATTTTAAGTTCCCTTACATTCATACTCATATTTCTGATTACATCTCTTGCGGATGTTAATTTGATTTTGCTTCTTTGTATTCCATTTCTCGCTTATGAATCATTCAAGTTTTAGTGCAACTATCTAAAAAACCAAAAGAAGTTCTAGTGCAAGAAGATGTTAAAGCTAATATATATATATATGGATGCAACACTTACTTTGTGGTCACATATGTTGTTGTATTACTATCGAAGGGAACCAGAGAAGAAGACACTATAGAGGAGTGAGGCAAAGACCATGGGGCAAATGGGCCGCTGAAATTCGTGATCCCAAGAAGGCGGCAAGGGTCTGGCTAGGCACATTCGAAACTGCCGAAGCCGCAGCTCTTGCTTATGATGAAGCAGCTCTAAGATTCAAAGGAAACAAAGCAAAGCTCAATTTTCCTGAAAGAGTTCAAGGGAAAACTGAGTATGGTTATCTTACAACTCGCCAAGACGCCAGAGTTGTAGCCGATCAGCAAGTTTCTCATTCTCATTCTAATCGATCATTTCCTCCTCCTCACGAGTATCCTCATATTCTTCAGTATGCTGAGCTGCTTAGGAGTGGAGATCAAAATAACTTGCATGATGAGGTGATCTCAAGTAGTGCTAGTAGCTTTCCTGGAGGGCCACTTGCTTCACAGTCTTCATCAGGTTCATCATCAAACATGTCATCTCAGGAACAAGGGCAACAGCAGTTTCTTCAGTTCCAATCTCCATACAACGTTGGAAGGACTTCAAGTTCCGGTAATTCGGAAATGTGGGAAGAGTTTCATAATAATACTTATGCAAGAAGGTAGTTTCAATACTTCAATGAATGTTCTCTAAGTTCACTTGGAGAATTGAAGTTGGGAGAATTATAAAATAACTCCATGGCTTCTTGTAAGTTTTCTTTTCGAGCATAAACTTGAGTTTTCGTGTTGTTTCCCGTTTATTTTCGATAAAGGTTCCCAACAATGTGTGTTTTGGTTTTTACTTCAATAATCTTCCGAAGTATATTAATAATTCTTGTTAAAGACTTCTGTCCAAAGATTAAAAAAAAAAAAAAAGAAGTCTTGTTGAAGACTAGAGCATTTTATAGACTCAGAAATCTCTACTATCAAACCACGTTTAGGTGAAATAGCCATTAATATTTTAGCATAATAAGTTTTAAGTATCTGTCATTCATATCATCTTCTAGAGCTTTTCTTAATACAAACATCTAAATATTGAGATAAGGGTTTGTATTGTTGGTAATTAGTATGCTTCTGGTTTGTCTAATCAAGGCAATAATGTTTGATCTGAATTTCATCTCCACTAATAAAATACATTACCCAAAAAAATTCTGATAATAAGAGGTATTATGTCAATTCTTCATGAACGTCATAGGCTGTTTCAGAAACCATGGAACGGTTTAAAAGCTTGATCATAAAGCCGGCTGATAGAGGGACACCAGAATTAATTAAATACCTCATGTTTTGGAGGACTAAACGTGGAGCTTTGAAATTCCCGTTGGACTCTAAGCCAAGGGTTCAATCAAATGGGATCTTCTATATTTCTAACTCTTAAACCCTCCTATATCTTTGAACCATGTGATGTAGCCGGCTAGCTCACTTCTGATTTTCTCATTGCATGTAATTCTGGATTCATTTTAAACCATATAATATGTTGGCATTGGCATCCTAGCTAGGTTGGTCCGGCTTTTTGAATTAGTCATAAATATTTTTTTTCCTCTCTATCTATTCATTGCTATTGCTACTTTAATCTAGTTGCATTAATCATGTATTTAAACCTAGCTAATAACAGCATTTCTGAAGGACTAGATTAGGTGATAAATTAAAATAGGCCATACATACCAATTAATCAATTGAACTTTGTTGACTGTCAAAAGTTCAACTGTTAATGCTGATAAACGAACAGCGCAAAAAAAAAAAATCAGTTTTGCTGAAGTTGCCCTTCCAGTCATAGAAAACTGCAGGTATAGTGTGTATTCGTTTGCTTTTTGAATGACAACAACTTGAAGTATCTTGGACTGCAGATAAAGTAATAGTTTTCTTCCCCAAATAAGTACTTTGATTTTTTATTAAAAAAAAAAAAAAGCGCCTTGATTTTAAATTTAAGGGTAATATGTATCATGTGAATCAAATCCAGTTATGCTGGTTGATACCTCGTACTGAAAAAAGAGAGACGTATGCCTAAAGGGGACAAATGATTAATTAGCTTATGTGATAAAGAAGTATATGAATATCCCAGTAATATTAGTTTAGAGCCTTAATTTTACATGGTTTTATTAAGCAAAAAAACATGGCCATAGCTTTTCCATAGTGTTTTTGGAGTACCACCTCGCATTTTGACCTTGTAATCGTATTTGTAACTCCACTTGTGTTCCATTTTATAACTCCTAATCGTTATAAAGGAAGAAAAGGCAAAAAGAACGCCTAGAGCGCCAAAGAAACTAAGTGCAACTCAAACAAATTTTACCCATAACACAAGCTCAAATTTTACATAGGAATATTGATTATGCAAAATGTAGACAAGGCCAACAGTTTTGAATGCTAGTTAGGCAGCCTTTGACTCTGATCAATCTTAAAAGAGGTTGCAACCTCAATAATAGTCATAGTATTGGCCTACCATCAAGTTGTATCTATACTATGTATGCAGAAGTTAACTAGCTAGTTTCCACGAGCAATTCAAAATTTCGAAACTTTACAAGAGCAAATTATTTTTCTGTGCCTTTTTCCATCATGTTGAGAAGGTTTCTCAGCCTAGCCTACGGTTTAGCATCCTCATGATCGATTATCCCTCCAAACACCCATATACACATATCTACTGCATATTATTCCTGTTGCTTGAACTATTTGAAAAAGGGAAAATTGCATAAACCTCCCTTGAGGTTTTTGACACTAGCACTCGCCTCTCTTGTGGTTTAGAAAATAGCACTGATCACCTTTGAACTTAAGGATTCTGTTGCAGATTCAGTCCATGCAAGAAAAGTTACCATTAAAAATTTGTTTTAAGGAGTAAGATGAGAAATTTATACCAAATTTTGCCCTTCATGCTGCTTGTCAAGTTGTATTAACAAAAGAATGATAATATATGAAAAGTTATTAAGAATTAGTAAAATTCAAGGGGTGTAAGTGCAATTGAATGACGTTTAACAACTATACATGAAACAGCGGTGGATACTAATGGCTAGTTAAATGGCTATATATCTAGATTGTTGTAGCAATGTTTATAAAGAATACACCTCGCTCTTAAAACTCTCTATTAGCAATGTGAATAGCTATTTGTGAGAATAACACAACTGCTTATGTTGTCAGCACTAATCATATATAATTAACAGCATATTTAAACATTACTAAAAGTTACTGAACATGAGATAAGCCTAGTTACAAGTAATTGGAAGTGCACACTAATAAGATAAAGTTGTCTTTAGTAAGTGAAAATTTGTTCATTAAGTTTCTGCAATTAGTTAGGGTATAAAAGTAAATTCATATAATTTATTGTTAGCAATAGGTCTAATTTCCTCACAGGGGAGGTCAGTGCTATTTTAGAAATTACAGGGGAGGTGAGTGCTAGTGTTAGAAACCTCAGGGGAGGTTTATGCAATTATCCCTTTGAAAAATGACCCTTTGTTCTAGAGTTTATTTCGTCTAATTTGTCCAAGATGCAAAAGTCTTCATGCTATAATGCCTTCCTTCGAATAGCCTGCATGACTGTGTGAATATATAGACACTCAAGATTCCATGCAAATTAAGCATGCATTAGAGAGGCTACGAGGAAGGAAGTCGAAAAAGGTTGGCCCTCTTCCACCAGTCCCATAAATTATACTAACCAAAACGCATTAACGTCTCTATATATAATGTCAGTTGGCACAAACATTACATTCTTGGTACTAATATAAAAGTATAAAACAACACTCGAAGAGTCAACTGTAGATAAATAATACTCACTACTCTATATAGGAACTTTGTTTATGGAGAACAAGATACAAGGATAGGTAGAAGATATAAAGAAACTTCACCTGGAAGGTTACTTTCAGATGCCCTTTTGTCATTTCCAAAGTTTGAAAAACGAGATCCGTAGATAATATATATTTGGCTTTGCCAGGCTGAAAGCTGAGTTCTGCGGAAAAGATTTCCGCACGATATGCTGACTACTTTAATCAGTGCTAGTTCTTAGATGCTAAGAGTAAGCTTGCAGCAAAGCATTTCATCCCCAGTAATCTTTATATACACTCCGGAACAAACGAACAAATGTGAAAATGTAGAAGGTTTAGTCAAGTGTTTGAAATTCCTTGAGGTCATGGAATTCGGCTTTGGTTGACGAACAAAATGAACTCAAAGCTAGAACTAGAAGCCAAATGTCGTCGCTATCGAAGCAGCCAAATATTCTCGGTGGTTAATCAGCCCACGCATGCATTTTTTGGTAATTAACTTTTTTGGGCGAAAGAATACAACCAAGTACGCGTTTGCTGAACAGCACGACTAATACGAAACAAACTCAAACTACCACTTATGAATACTACTGGGGGAGAAGAACCTGCGCAAAGAGCCAAAGTTTGGTGCCTGTGGTTAAAGTAAAGAAAATTGCAAGAAGGTTCAATTATTCATCCTATTTATCATCTAAAAACGATCAACAACAGAGATGAATTGAAAAGACTTATTGATAAGGTCAGCAACCTGGAATGATGATTTTCTGTTTCTAGGTTATTGATGAGTTTCTGAACTCTCCAACTGTTCGTTTTGCTTGTTAAAATTCGATATAATAATAATCGTGGATCATTGATTAGTTCTCCCTCGTCGAGATAAATTTACTTTAACATTTGTTTTGTTTGGGCAAGAGATTATTTGTGCTGTAACACTTCTTTAGATAGATGCAATACCTGTGCGAGCCATCAGGCTTCTTCGATTTGCAATATTCACGTTTGTTTGTGTGTAGCTTGTGGTCGGGACGCTAGCTACAAAGCAAAGCACCACCAGGCTACAGGTTATGTTTCGAGGAAAAGCTAAGGTTGTGTTTGGATTGCATTTTCCGTCATTTTTCATGGAAAAATTACTGTAGCGATTTGATATATGTGAGGGAAAAAGGTAATAGGGAAATGTGATCACGGAAAACGATAATATTTTCCGACGAAAACCTTCAATCCAAGCAAAGCCTAAGCTATTCATAAGATTACGAAGGACAAAGAAATAGTTTCAAGTATTCAACATTCACAAAACGGGGTAGGGGGTCTGTTATTATATTGGACATGAATGGATGTACGTGGAAGAACTTATTATACTTTGAAGGGCAAAATCTGCACGCAAAATAATTATGAGGGGCGTAGTACGAAATTCCAGGCACACTTTTTTCACGGACAATAATGTCTGATTTATTAATTTGTGAAAATCATTTCTTTTCAGTCAAGCGATCATTCATTTCTTGAAGGGGGCGGCTCACGGCTGCATGGTTTATTGTTTTCATTTGGTCGATGAAGTCACGATCATGGTTGACATGAAACTGGGAACAAGTTAAGTTGGCGTATTGGTTTGAAGACTTGCGTCTTAGTTGCCCTCCCACGCAGCCGAAATCAACTCTTTTTGTTGTCTCTCTTGATAACAGTAAGCGAGATCATCCAACTACAGATAAGATGTTTGAATTTGTTTAGTTGTCTAGCTTGACTTGGCTAATTAATCCTAACCCCAACCAACGAAAAATAGACAAGTAAAAAAAAAAAAAAAAAAAAAAAAAGAAATTTGAATCTTGAATCTCATCATTCCTAGTCTCCTGTCGTTTATTTCGCACTTACGTAAATCAGGACGTGATTAGCACACGGGCCACCAATTATCATTTATCAAACACTTTGAATTCCACTAATCCGACAGATGGGCTTTGTGAAAAAAACTATATATCAAAAGTTGCCGACTTTTGAGGTTAAATTTGGAATTAGGTTTAATTAAACCATTTCTTGCTTCTGTTAAAAAAGGAAAAAGATCCCGGAATGATTTCTAGATTAATATCCATGTATTGAGTTTTATGAATAGTAATATGAAAGCTTCAAATATAAACACACAAAAATAACCCAAAACTAGAGGTACATTAACAGTCGATCACCTGCATGAAACCCGTGGGACACAGACTAGAGAATCAAAATTACTAACGTACACAACACTGGAGATGATAATCAGTAGGAATATATAGTACAGCTAGCTCATCATGAAATTAAAACAAAAGATGTCACTATAATTTATACTCAAATTCACTAATGACGTATTTTGATGATGTTTTAAAACTTTCTCAATCTTTAACTTTACAAACTAATATTTTTCTTGATATGAATAACGAACAAATCCTCATTCAAGGATCATTTTACGATAATCTATCCATTTAGTTCATCACAACATCAACTCATTAGCTGCAAAATTTCATCAAAAAAAAAAAAAAGGGTAGTCTTGACATGCATGATTTTGATGATCTATTGATGCTTGGAGAAATCAAACTAAGTTCATAATTAAGATCGAGGAGTGAACATATGGAGTCAAGAATTATAAGATCGTAAGGGGAGGTATCATACAGCACACGTAAAGAAAAAGAAGATCAAAATGAATACCGATACCCTACATGAGATAGCTGCAATGGTTAACGTCATGATAGCTTACTGTTTCTTCTTGGCCTAAATTGACACGTAAAATTAGCTATCCTTGTAATCTTTTTACTGAAATTAGCAAACTTAACGTATAAGCTAACCTCACAGGAGAGCCCCAAAAGACGCTAACTCTTGGAGTCTCCAATGAAACTTAAATCCTAAATTTATAAACTCCAACAGATCGATGTTGGATGCAAAACGGGGAAACAGGGAGCTATCCTCGTAATAATCTCTGTGTAATTTCTTATCCCAATTCCCACCAACCAGATATACAAACGACAAAAAAGGTATTTGATGCCTCACATTTTTCACAGATCGACACCAAGGACTTCACGAATATGAACACTGGAAAATGAAAAAGAAGGAAAAACAAGAAAGCTCGTGTGTACTTCATTCATCGTACTACTTCCACGAATTTATCAGTTTTCTTTCTCTTTCTTTCTTTATACTC